ACCAGAAACTCACTGAAGAGGAGATGCCAATGGATAATAAACATGAGAAGATGAGTCAGGGAAATGCAAATCAAAATGAGACCCCAATATCATTTTCTCCAGTTAGATGGAAAAGAAGGAGAAAGATAACAGACTGAGGGGAGACTATTGTGAGAAGAACACTCACTCTTAGGCATTTCTAGTGTTTGTGAGCAGGCTTATGATTTGGTGGTTCCTACTAAAGTAAAAAATGCGCTTGGGTATGGATCTTAGTCTGTGAACTGAGGGACATGGGAAATACCACTTCTAATTATTTTCAACAGAGCAACTTAATTTCTGATGCTAAGCCACCCATCTTCCAGGTTGGGGAAACACACAATATTAATCCTTTTGGGGGCTTCTCCTCACCGTTGGGGCATCCTGAATATATTTATATATTGTCTTGGTGTGTGGTTTCAGGGGCACTGGTCTCCCCTGCAGAGCCAGATTGTAAGGCAGGGACCATTCATTACCTGCTCAGGCCTTTGCCGCTCTGTGCTTGCCGTGGGCTGAGCACAGACCATCTTTCTCTGCGTCCATCCTCTGAGTATGTGCATCTTTCAGAGGGAGGGGCTGCGGTCTGGCACTTTAAACCTGCATCCTCAGAGGTACCCTCATTGCTAATGAGTGTTGATTTGGTCTTGTCTAAAAGCTACTCCCCACTTCCCTGGGGGAGCAGCACAGATGCAGTATTATTTTTTCATTGAATTTCTGTAAAGGAATTGGCTTTATTAATAACAACTGCAAGACATACCAGTCTCCCTTAGGGTTTCCATGTATTGTTGGCCCATGTGGGGTTGCCTGTTCTGAATCTGTTATCGTAAATTGGAACAAGGAGATTCTGATCCTAAGAAATAATTCACCCTGGTGTTCTCTCTGCCCAAAAGCTTTTCCTCAATTTTGCGTCTGGCACACGCTTCTGCTCCTTCAAGACCCGGTTCAAATGTGAACTGTTTCTTAAAGCTTTCCTCAAATTTCATGCACCAGTTTATTCCCCCTTCAATTACTCTCTGCAACCCCCAACTCACTCCCAACAGAGTCGAGCATGTCTTCCTCACTCTCATGACATGCAGAACATTATCTAATTTGAAGTCATAGCCTATGCCACTTAAAGAGGACAGCATTGGCCAGAGGTGGCATTAGATAACAACCATTAGATTTTATCATTAGTGCTAGATGCCTCTGATGCCTGCATCCCCATGCCCAGCCTGCCTCTGGGTTCAGCTGTCTCCTGCTGGACAGTTCCCTGGGTGCTCAGTCTCAATGGCTCTGCCGGCGGGGCTAGGACTTCACCCACATTGTGCCCCACATTTTCCCAGATGTAGGGGTGGGGTCATGGCCCTCCTAGACTGATGGAGTCTAACTTGGAAGGGAGGGGAGTGAACATCTGGAGCAACTCTCAGCTAATGAGAGCTGGAGCCAATGGGTGCATTCCCCAGCCTCCTGTCCTTTGGGCGGCCATCTGGAGATGCCTTGTATCTCACCCAGCTGGCACTGAGCACCGTGGCCGATGGCAGCGCCTGTGACAATGAGTTCTCTTGGCTTCTCCCGTCTCTCATCTCATTCTCCCTTCTCCCTCACGCCTATTTCCTGAGGTCATCTTCCAAATAAGTTACCTGGTCCCACGTCCCTGTCACAGGTTCAGCTTGGTGGTGGTAGTGGAGTGGAGGGGAACGTGATCCAAACGAAGGCATGAAGAACACCTACTGTGTGCCAGGCGCCTCTGGTATGCCCTTTTCCTTGCTTGATTATTTACTCCAGGGGGGCAGGATGATGCGCTGCTCACCCAGTGCCTATTCTGCAGTTCTTCCTCACGAATGGACTCCTAATTTACTGGGGACCGCAGCATGTCCAGTTGAAACTCTTATTTCCCAGCCCCCCTTGCAGACTACATGACCCAGTTCTGGCCAGTGGGCTGTGAGGGAAGTCGGGTGGGCCTTCTAGGAGGTGACTCAACAAAGCCGACCAGCACACTCAGCTGGCACAAACTCTTTTGCTCTCGACTGATTTTCCCTCTTGCTGCCTGTGATGATGACATGGAGGCTGGAGCTCTGTTTTCTAAGCCTTAGGACAAGGGCCAGATTCTGTGAATGGGAGACCCCAAACCTGGCGGGGCCTGAATCCCTGTGGGCTTTACAGAGAGGCAGGCAAGCCCTGAGCTGCTAGCCTCTGGGTTTCTAGTTATGTGAGAGAAAAGCAACCCTTTATTTATTTAATCACAAGTTATTATATCAGTAATGTGATTTTTTGTTCCACACAGCCGAACTAAATCCCTGAAACAAGAACATATTGTCATCTCTGATTTCTGTTGGGAATATATCACATGCTCAATAAATGTTTGAAAAGAAAACACCCATAACTTTCTCTTTTCCACTCTAGGTGATCTTGATTGTATAAGACTCGGCTAGACCCTACTTTTTAGGTACTATCACGAAGTAATCCATTTGATTGCAGTTTTATCTTTAATTTTCTCTCCTATAGACCACATAGTGCTTGTGGGTAGAAACTGTCTTATTCATCTTCAAGTGCAAGTACCCAGCACAATCAACAGCTTCAAGATACTATTGCACAAGTGCCATTTTGGAAAACAGCAATTTTAAAAAAAGTTAACAAGAACTTAGCATCTGACTCTCAGTAGTTCCTCTCCTAGATATCTACCCAAAAGAAGTGAAAACGTATACCACACAACATTATTCATGAGAGCCAAGCAGCGGGAACAATCTGATATCTAGGAGCTGGTGACTGGATAGACAAAATATGCGCCGTGGCACACCACCTGGGAATAAAAAGGATGGGCACTGATGGCTCAGGGGAAGAAGCCAGACATGAGAGACTACATTTTGTGTGTTTCCATGTATGTGAAGTGTCCACGAAAGGCAAATCTCTCAAGCAGTAAGGAGGTTAATAGCAGAACTGGAGGAGGCAATGGGGATTAACGGTAATTGGGCACAGCTGGGGTGATGGAAATGTTTGAAAACTGGATGAGGTCATGGTTGTACAACTCAACTGACGTAGAAAGCATTCATCTGTACACTTAAAATGAGTGGATTTTATGGTGC